GGGTTATAATTTTTGAATATTTTTTGGTATATTTAATTTTTTCTTTAGTTGTTTCTTTCTTTGAAATTAAATGTTTTATAACTTACTAACACCCTCTTTTAATTTTTTATTTAATGTAAACCAGATAAACCAACTAGACAAAAACTATTCAATATAAGACTTTGAGTACCTCCATCTGCTTGTTATTTTTATGGAGGTGAACATGCCATATCATCTTTTTGTCTTAACATATGCATTAACACATCTTCTCCTAATGAACTGTTCTATAAAAATAAGTAATTTGTAATTTCAATTCTCAAAAAAAATATGTAATTTTCTTTAAACAAACATCACGTGGAATTTCTTGTGGTTTTGTTATACTTATTGGTTTTTCACATTCATCTTCTTCAACCATTTCACTCGTATGATCCATTTTATTATTTTCTTTAGGCATTTCAATATTTATTTTTTCAAAATATGTTGTTTTAATATCTTGATAACATTCTTTAGTTGAGTCTGTGAGATATTCCCCTTCATAAATCTGTTTTGATTTGTTCATTTTTTGAGTGGTGCAATTATGAATTTCAAATTCTTTATCTGTTTTAGAAATTCTTAAAATCAAAAAACACAAAAGAGTCAATGATATGTTTTAGTAATTGAGTCAAACAATGCTTTAACATATTTATTCCACTCTTTAATTCCAATGTGATGATTATACAATTCTTGCATTATTTCATCTTCATTTTTATTAACTTTTACACCATACATATTTTCATACATTTGAAGTAATGTTATAACATAATCTTTTTGAGCATTTGAATCTTCTAATAATACCCATTTATAATCTTCTTGTTCAGCTTTCTCAATTTCCAATGTTTCAACTTGGATTTTGTCATTTTCTATTTGATATTTAAGCCGTTCTATTGTTTCTTTTAATTCTTTTACCTTTTCTTCTGAACGTTGTTTTATTAACTTGTCTTCTTTCATTGCTTCTATTTGACTTTTGATGATGTTTTTCTGTGCATTAAGTTCCTTTATTTCTTTCTCTTTCTTTTCTCCTTCTTGTTCCAACTCTTCTTTCCGTCGTTTTCTTTCCTTCACTTCCTCTTTTATTTCTTTAATTTCTTTTTCCATCATTTGATTTCTTGTTGAAATCTTTTCATTCTCTTTTTTTATTTTCTCATACATTGTCTTAGTTTCTCTTATTTTCTCAATAAGATATTCCTCTGTGTTTGTCAGTATTTTAATTCTTTCCATCCTTTCTTTTTCTTGTTCTTCATTTTCTCTCTTCATTCTTTCTATCATTTCATTTTCTTGGTAAATCTTTTTCTTTACTTCATGTTGTGCTTGTAAAATAAATTGTTCCATTTCTTCTTCACTGTTAGTTTCAAGCACCTTGAGTATTTCTTCTACCTTTTTCATTAATTCTTCATTGTCTCTTTCAGTTTTATGTTTCCTCTCTTCATCTTCTGTGTATTGTTTTTCCATCCTTTCAATCTCATCGTCTAATTGTTTACTTTCATTCCTTAGTTTTTGTATTTCTTTTTCTTTTACTGCTATGACGCTGTCTTCCATTTCTATTTCGACTTTTCAGATTTTCTTTATTCCAAAAAATCTCTTATTCTTAGTATAACTAACTCTTGTTTTTATTCGTGTGACAATTCTTTGTCTTCTTTCTTCTTCTCATGAACTTTAATTCCCTTCCTTTGTTTTTGTGATGCACATTTCTTTATTATGTTCAGTTCCATTCCATCTCTTGTTCAAACTTATTCAATGACTATTCACAACTTTGTTATGAGTCAACCTGTTCCAAAATCTCTTATAAAACAATATATACTTTTGAAAATAAATTTATAACAAAAAACATTATTGATAAATCTTTTACTCCGAACAAATTGTTGTGGATTAAGATGGTTTTTGTCTTAATCTACCATTGAGATTTGTTGAGACACAAATGAAAATGAAGTACTATCTTTAATTTTCATAGTTAAAAAACATTTAATAAATAACAAAATGTACATAAATTATTTTTTATTTTTTATTAATTCATATAAACACAAAAATAAGTCAAACTGTTCTATTTTTAGATAAAGGATGAAAAATGAACATTGTTTTGATTTGATACTTGAATTATGTTTGTTGTTGTGTTACTAATAAAATATTTGCTCATTAAAATAGATAACAAAAGAAAAGAAATTATTTCAAGTACTCTTCGTATTGTTAGTGTTTGCTTTAATTACTATGACTTAAATTGAATAATACTAGAATTTATATTTAGTTAGTATTAGCATAAGTTAAAAAAGTTTAAAACTGAAATTAATATATCAATTAGTTACTATAATTAATATTTAAGATTTTCTTCTAAACTCCTTTCTTAACAATAAAATAAAAACAATTTATAGTGAAATAAAATGATTTGTAATGGACTTTAAAATAATTAATAATACTAGATATTGGTATTATTTCTTTATAATAGCTGTTGTTTAAAACCAAATTTAATTGTTTAAGCAATTCCGATTTTATTGTAATTTTTAATTCATTTTTGTAGAAAAAGAATAAGATAAAAATATTTTATAAATTATTTTTTTTTCATATAGCAGATAATTCTAAACAATAAACAGTAAATAAATAACAATAACAATATAAATGATGATAACTTGATTATAATAATATTTTTGATAATATAAAGAATAGAAAAATTAATGAAAGATAGTAAAATTAAAATAAAATGATTCCGAGTTGTTGTTAGTATTATAAATTATTGAAAATACAACATAAATATTGTAATATGATACATATTTAAAAAAAGAAATAACATAATAAACCAAATGGTATTTAATTTTTAGTTAAGTCTGAGAAAAAAATAAAAAGAATAGTCTTTTTATGAAAAACAATAAAAAATATAATATTTTGATTGTTTTTATTCATCTAATTATTTAAAACAAAATAATGTTGTTTGATAATATTTAATAATGTATTTATCTTTTCATTGTTTTAAGAAGGTGTTTTATTCAAATTGTTGTTTATTTCATTCTTTTATATTATTTGAGTATTGTTATATTTTGTTGTGAATTTATATCTTCAAAATTGAAATTATTCTTAATATATATGATCTCTCATTTGTTTTGTATTGTTTTATTGTTTATTTCTTTTTGGTTATGTGTTACATCAACGTTTATTTCTTTTTATATTCTTTTTATATTATTTCTTATTCTCTGTTTGTAATTCTATTTTGATTTATCAATATTAATTAGATATTGTTATTAATTGACTCTTTAATATATTTCTTTTTATTCGTATTATTCTTATTCTTTTATTCGTATTATTTGTTTAATTAATGTATATCAATTATTATATATTAACTATTTTATTTCTGTATTTTCTATATTTTCACCATTTCCTTGTCTATATCATTTTTTATTAAAATCATTACCTATTTCATTTAGTTTACTATTAATAGAAGTGTTAATAATATCTTTCTTTTCTTATTGTAAATAATTTCAATTTATCTGTGCTTCATTATTTTTATTATCTATTATTTCTTTGGTTATTTTCTTACTTTCTTTTCATTCATTTTCTCTGCACCATATAATCTATTTCTTTTCTTATTTTATTAATTTCATTTCATATCTTCTATCTTTTCTTCAATTCTATCTTCATATTTTATATTTATCTAATTCTTTTATCTCTTACTGCTTGTTTATTATTTTATCAATCCATTTATTTTCATTTATAATTATTAACATTCTTTCTCAATTTCAGTAAATTATTCTTTTGTTATTATCAATTCTTATCACACCCTCTTATTATTATAATTATTTTTATTGTTGTATTCTATTTATTGACTTTCTTCTATATTTCAATGATGATATATCATTTTAATCATCAATAATATTAAATTTCTTTGTACCATTGTTAAATATTGAACTTATCATTCTTTCAATATTGTTATTCTTCCATTTTGATAATTGTTCAATTATATTTTTTTGTAGTTGTTATAATTGTTTTGTTTGTACATAATAATTTCCTCTTAATTATTAAACAATGCATTTAAACCCATTAATGTATCATTCAATTAATGTAAAATTAAATGAATTATCACTACTTCAAACTTTAATTCTCAAATTTTCATTCTATCATTATGTTTAATAAATAAAACAAATAAAAAGTCAATTTATGAATAAGAAATAAAGAACTAACAAATTTTGGTTAAAAATAAAAAATTTTCTTTCATTTTAATATTTTTTTTCAATTAGTCAAAGTTAATTTCCTTATTATTGAAGAAGTAATTTGAGAATATATAAAGAGTTAAAATTTAAAAAAAAATGAATCATAATATTTCATATGAATTTAATTTTTATTTTATTTTCATTCAAAACGAAAGAAGCAATAATCAATTAAAAATAATCAATAATTGAAGCGTTAATAAAATTGGTATTTATTCAATATTTAATGGATATTATCCACAACATACTTTATTAAAATAATTAATTTCTTTATTTGTTACTTGTATTTTCTTCTTGTTTTGTGAGTAAATCATTTTATTTTGTTTTATTTCTTTTATTGTCTTTTCTTTCTTCTTTATTCTTTCTGTTTATTTAATCTTTTTATCTTCTTCTTTCATTGTTTATTTTAATTTTAATGAATTTCTTCTTTCTTTATTTCTTATTTTATGATGAATGAATATTTCATTATCATTATATTATTATATTTAATTTCATTTATTATTTATAACATCATTTATATCTTTTTCTTTTGTTATTTTTCCTTCATATTATCTTATTTCATTCTTTATATTATTATTTATTATATTTCTTATTAAAATACATCATCATAACCAAATAATAACTGACAATTCATTATTTGATTTAGTAATAATGTTTGTGTGTTGGTTCTGATGTTCATTTTCAAGTCTTACAAAAAAAATAATAAAAAACTAAAAGAATAACAAGAAAGAAAGGAATTAGAAACGACTTTTAACATAAAGTAATCTTTTGCAGATTGGACTATAAGATAAGACATCATTTATTTATTTCAATAAGAATATCAAGAAAACAATAAACAAACCATTTATGATGAGCATCTTTCAAACCATCAAGACAACAAGGAATGCAAGAAAAACATAATAATCCAAAACAGCATAAAACACAACATAATATAAAAACTAAAGAACCTGACTCATAAGTAACTTCAGTTGTGATTAATTTATTACAATGTGGACAAAACATTTGAGAAGGATAGAATGTAATTTGTGGTGGTTGTTGAGGTTGGATTGTAGTAACTGGTTGTTGTACAACAACCCCACCTTGATTTGGTGGTACTTGATATGATAATGGTTGTTGGTATGACTCAGTCATTCCAGGTGGTGGTTGATTATACTGGACTACAGGAACTTGTTGTGGACCAAGGTAACTTGGTTGTTGGATATGAGGATCAGGAATAACTGGTGCAGATGGTTGGTTGACTAAGTTTGGTTGATACTCTAATCCATTTGGTTGTGCAGATGGTTGGTATATTGGTACTTGGGGTTGTTGGGGTGTTGAGTCATTTAAAAGTGGTTGAACCTCATTAGTTGGTTGTGGTGGTTGATATATTGGAATATCTCCGTTCATTTAAGACTAAATGACTTAATCACAGATGAAGCAAAAGTCTAGTAAATTTTCTATAAAATCTTTGCTTTTTTCCTGAAATAATAACATTTTTAAAAATAATCTTTTTTTATTTTTCTTAATAAACTTGTTATATTCTTCACATTAAAAAATTTAATAACAAAACATAATATCCTTGTTATAGAAAACAAGGAAATAAGAAATAGATTAATTAATCAGCATATTTCTTCTTAAGTTCTTCAATTTCTTCTGGTGTATAATCATTCTCTTCATTAAGATATTCTCGCATTTGTTCAACTGTTTTCCCAATTAAATTCTTTGCAATTGTCTTGGCGGTTGCTTCAACAAGCATATCAATATTCATGAATGTTGCAGCTTTCAACATTTCAAATAACATATCCTTTTCTAAGTCATCACAGAATTTAACATCCCATGGATGAAGATCAGCATTCTTGTCTCTATCTCCAATTACAAAGTCTGGATACATCAATGGATGTTCGTTGTGGAATAATAACCATTGAATGACTTTTTCTAATACTGCTCCTTCAACTTTTAAAATAGGAACTGGTTCATCAGCATTTTCTCTATCTTTCATGAGTGATTCTACAAGTCCTGATTGTTTTGCTGCTTCTTCAGAAATAGTAAAATCTTTTCCATCTGATGATCTTAAGATTACGTTTTGTGCCATGTCTTTCTTTTTTTTAAGTTCTTCTTTTTATTTTTTTACCCCCTTTTTATTTCTCCAGATAAGATTTAAAAAATGAAAAGAGAGAGTAAATTGACTTTATTATTAATTCTAGTTATATAGTGTTAGCTCAAAGAAAAAGTTTAGTGTGAGACATGATTTTAGTTTAAAATACATGACACAATTAGGAAGGGTTAGAAAAAAGCGATAAAGAATTTCGAGGAAGAACAAATGAACTGAAAAGCAAGAAAAGAGAACTATAAAAGTAAAGGTGAAGAATATGAATGAACAAGCTTCATTTAAAGTGACTGATCCATTTCAAATAGTTTTATTAGAGAATGAACCAATTCTAGATGAAATCGAGGAAGAATTAACAATAGAAAAAGGGATAATTAAATATGAAGAAAAAGAAAGAATAATAACAAGTAAAGACGGGAGAATAATAAAACATTGTCAAAATGTATTAAATCAAATAACACAAAAATATAATTATTATATATTTAAAGTAAAAATAAAACCACAATTTAATGAAGAATTAGTAAATATTCATTTAAATTCATTAACCAGAAGTATAGGAATATACAAAGAATTAAAATTTAACAAATTAGATTTACCAGTAGAAAATGAGATATATGAATATGTTGTATATAGTTTGTATTAAATAGTTTTGTTTCTTTAGTTTATTAATTGTTATTAGCAAATCCTCAAACTAATAAAAATGAAATTGAATTATTCATAAAAACACTTATTAAAATTAACGTATTTAATGCATATTATGATTTAGTTGAATTACCTGAATTATTCAAATCTAATTTTATTGAAATTTGTAATATCCTTAAAACAAACTCTTTAACTTCAATTCCTTTTAAACTTGATATTAACTCCTCTCCTCAAATTTTTGGATTTGAACATTGTTTTAAACAATTAATTCAATTTATTGAAAATATTCAAAAAAGTCAATTTACTACTTTAAAAATTAAAGTTAAAAACCATTTGACTTTCTTTCATAAAGCATTTTATGAAGAAAAATTTACTACTTTAACCACTCAAGCAAACTGGGATATTATTAAACTTCAATATAAAATTTTGTTTAAAGAAGTTAAACCAGGTTTATTTGACTGTTTCGTTAAAGCTCCTAATAATGTTATTAAAATTGTTATTTCTCAAATTACTGAATTTTTTAATAATATCGTTTTAATTCCTGTTATTAATAACGTTAAAAAATCTGATGAAAAAGATTTACTTCTCTTCTCAAGAACTCATGACACTCCTTATAATTCACTTTATTTCATTAGTCATGGAAAAGTGAATCAAATGATTGCTGTTATTAATCTGTGTAAAGATTTTCATTCAGTTAATATGATGACTTATAAAGAGGAATTAACTAATTTTATTTTCGAAAAATATATCACTTCATTACCTCAAAACGAAGACTTGGAATTCGAAGAATTAGATATTCCAGAATTAGTTAAGTCTCCAACCAATATAATAAGTCAATCAAAAAATATCACAAGTCTTATCGACGAAAATTTAAACCAAAGAACTAATGATTCTACAAATCAATCTGGAGATTGTACTTTTGAAATTGAGAATAATCTTGAATCTCAACCACAAAATGAAATAATAAATATTCCAAATGAAAGGTATTCTCTCTCATTCCAACAAGATAATTCTATTTATCAAGAACATTATGATGAAAATACTGAGTCTAATTATTATGAAGATAATTATTTCGATCAAACAAGTTACAATGAACAACTCAATCAAGAAACCTTTTCTCATGATAATCAACAATGTGAACCTCCTCCTCTTCCACCAAAACCAAAAAGACTTCAAAAAGAAGAACATCCCATACAAGAAAGTACCAATGTTAATAGTCTTCAAGAAAAAGAAACTCAAGAGTCTTTTTATACCTTAGAAACAAATGAAAAAATAACTGATCAAACACACATTATTTCACAAGAAGAACTACAATCAATAACTTTATCTAGTCCTTGTGTTGAGGATAAACAAACTTATTATAATGTACCATCAGACTCATGTGAAAAACAAAATGAAATCAATCAACAACATCTATGTGACCAAATACCTCAACAAGAAGACTCTGAACCTTATAAAGAATATACTGTTTCACAAATACCTGAAGAAAAATATCAGGAAGAATTAATAGAAAGAAGTCAAGATAATGATCCAATTAGTGAGCACGTCAACCAAAGTAAAGTTGAGAATAATACTGATAAAATAAACCAAGAACAAGTTACTATTTCTGTTTTAGGAGATGAGTTACAAGAGATAGAAAATAATACAAATAATGTAACTAATGAACAACAACGTTATGACCATTTTATTGAACAAGAAAATGAAGATGAAATTCAGATAGTTAGACAAGTTTCAAGAAGACCAACCAGATCATCTAAAAACAGAAAACCAGCAACAAAAAAATTATTTGAACAACTGAAAGAAATGAAAATAGAAGCAATAAAAGAAGAATTAAAAGATAATGAAGAATTAAAAGAAGAATTAAAAGATAGTGAAGTTAAAGACACAACACAAGAAGAAAGTAATAAAAAAGAAATAAGTTCACTTGAGTCTAATCAAATTGATAGTAAATTAGCAGAAGAAGAGAACCAAAATAATAAAGAACCAAAGAGTACTGATCAACAAAACGAATGTCAAGTTGAAGAAAAAACTATAAAAACATCTAATGACCAATTAACAAAAAACCAAATTGATAAGAAACACTCAAATGTTAATCAAATGTTATTAGAAGATTTACAAAAGACATTACATACTACAAAAAAAGAAAATAAACCTTCTATTAATTCTACAAATTGTACAAATGAAAATACTACAAACCAATCTTTTCTTCCAATACTTCAAATTAAACTTAAAAAAACTTCTCCTATAGAAAAACAAGAATTACCAATTCAAGAAGAAGAAACAGAATTTCAAAAAATAATGAAAAAACGAAGAGAACAAAGTAATTAATAAATATATTTAAATACTTTTTTCTATTTTGTTTAAACACTCAATGAAACTTATAAGTTATATTAAATCTTGTTATTTTTATAAAAATAACAAAAAGGTTATAACTTCATTACTCTTTGACATTTGACTATGAAAGATTCATATGCATCTTTCTCTTAACAAACATCAAATATATTTTTATTTCTTTTTTTTTCTTTTTAAATAGTTATTTTTTCTAGTTTTATTTATTAATTATTATAGTTTTAAGGGTTGTTGTTTTAAACAACACAAGAAAAAAATCGAAATAGTTATGGAAATATAATATAAGATATTATAATAAATTATAATAATAATTTAATAAACAGTGAAAACAAAAGAATGTCGTCAATGGAAGTAGTGTCAATATTTTTATTATTGATATTAATACCAGAAAGTAATTGTTTACAGATAGATAGTCCGTGTATAGTTTGTCTAAAAATGATAAGAAAAGATTAGATTTGTTAAAAACTAACCAATAGACGGACATCCGAGTAGAAAATATTAAGTTTATTGAGAAAAAAGGAGTTGTTGGTTCAAAGTCTCAAATAGCGAAATTATGTTATGATGATGTTCCAGAAAAAAATAGAAATGTTTTAGCTTATTCAACTCGTACCTCTTGTTATTTTCCTATTCCTTTATTTTACCAATTTTTTCAACGAAGAGAATTTCCTCGGTGTGGTACTTGTATTAAAATTAGTGGTCCTTCTTTAAAGCCAACAATTTGTACAATAGTTGGTGCAACAGTAATGAATGTAACAACAGAAGAAGAAAGATTATCATATTTAAGGACACTATTTGTTGATGAAGAAATGTTTCAACATTTATCAGGGTTTTATAATAATTATGGAGAAGGTTCATCATTACCAGTTGTTGCACAGGTAGTTAATTGTCCATATAAAACAATTCCTTCTGCTGTAGTTAAATCAATAAAAGAAGAAGGAGATAATTATAATACAGAAGTTATTTTATTTAATACGAATGTTATTATTGATAAAATAGAACTTAGTGGGTCTTATTATTACTTAAATGCAACTTCATGTCTTTTTAATTTAATTATTCCAAAATCATTTACTTCAGGGACATTAAAATTATATGATTTTGTTGGTCATGCATTAGCACTTCCATTTAAATTAGAATTATCAACAATTCAAACTGCTTCAAGTTCATTACCAGGAAGTTTAAAAGAGAACTCATGTTATCTTCGATTAGAAACACAAATTCTTAATACTACAGAAATAGTAGATCCATATTTTTCATGGAAATTATATGTTCATAGTCAATCAAATTATAAAGAAGTAAGTCAAATAGATTTAAAGAATCCAACAATTCAATTTGATAATGAAGTATATATATCTTTAGTCTTTCCTTATCCAGTAAAAGTTAGTAAACATTATTCTTATTTATATTCCGATTATTTTATTAATAATCCTTTAGTAAAAGAACCAGAATTTAAAACTTTTTCATTTATTGATTCAATTGAAAATTCAATTGAAACAAATTGTTTAAATTCATTTGCTTTAAATAAACAAGTATTTTTTGAAGATAATTATTATAGAATTAAAAGTCAATTAAGTATGAAAGTAGCTCGTTGTTATGCTCAAATAAATAATATTGTTGTTCATTATATAACAAATAAAAAGAATTCTGTTATCACTTTTAATAATATGTTTCTTTATCCAATTAATGATTTAAATTTCACTAAATGTCCACTTGGTACTTTTCAATGTTCTTTTGAAGATGAATGTAATCCAACAAATTCAACTATTAAACCAACTAATGGAGAACCTATTAAAAATTACTCTAAGGGTTGTGTCCCTTTTTGTGGTACTTGTAAATTTGGATTTTCTTGTAACAAAGCTGCAAAGTGTGTTAAGACAATTTCTTTAAATTTAAGAAATCAATCATTTGGTACTTTTCTTTTTGTAGCATTATTGTTAATTTTTATTATTTAAATTCTTTATTTTATTTTTTTATGGTTTTGTATTTTTGGGTATTTTTTTTAATATGTTTGTTTTTATATTTTTTAATACATTGAATCTTGAATGTTCTAATTATTGTTTTTTTACTCTTTTTTTTCCAAATCTTCTTTTATTTTAAAATCATTCAAAAAAATAAAAATAAAATATGAAAGATTATTAAATTATTGATTTACAAAGTATCAAATGATGATTGAAATGGATCTCAAAATATTACTTTTCAATTTTTTTTGAACTTTCTACTATGGACCCTTCATTATCTGAACTTCTTCCACTTGAAGAATTACTTCTTTTTCTCATAAATGAAGGTATAAGGAAACTTAATTTAGTTGAACTTCTTGGACTTTCTTGTGGAGATTCTGTTTTTCTAGGAGAAATAACTGAGAAAATTCTCCTTCTTGGACTACTTCCTGTTGAATTTGAAAGTTCAGAAGATGAAGAAGATGACATAGATGAACCAGAATCATCACCATTAACTTTATTAAGAGTAGGAATTTTATAACTTTTTTTCTTTGATTTAGATTCTGTTGCTTCAATTGTACCCAATGATCCAGAATGCCCACATGATTTTGATCTTGATCTGTGAATTGGTTTATTAATTGTTTGACCATCAAATGAAACAGCACGAATTCTTCTTGGTGTATGACATTGTTTTTCTATTTTTGTTTGTGGAATCATTCTTTCCTTTTGGAAAACTAATGAAAGATTTTCAGGAGTCATTTCTTCTTCAAATGGACTTTCTTCAGTAATTAATGGAATATGTCCTTGTTCCAATTGTTTTAAAAATGCTTTATAATAGTCTAATGGAGAATTAGTATTAATTCTATTTGAATTATATCCTAACTCTTGTAATCTATCTTCTTTCTTCTTATTATGTCTTTTCTTTGGAGTTTTTAGTTGTAAATTAGGCACTTTAGGTACTTTCACTTTCTTTTTTATATCCTTTTCTGATTTTAATTTTGCATTAAACAATGGATGAGCTAATGCCTCTTGTGGAGTCAATCTATCTTCTGGTTTGTATGTTAAACATTTACTCAAAAAATCAAATAATGTAAGTCGTAATGTTGCAGGATCAACAGGAATTTTAGAAACATCTAAAATAATATTATGTAAATACACTAATTCCTTTAAACTCTTTTTCTTAAAGTAATCCTTTTCTTCAGGTAATTCTACACAATATTCTTCTTCAAATTCTTCATCATCTTTCAAAATATACTCAACAGTACCATCTAAATGGTCATATCTATTGAAATAATTTTCTGTTTTAGTTCCATTGATTAACATCTCTGCTGGAAGCATTCCAAGGAATTTAATTTGTTTTCTTAATAATCCTAATTCACTATTTGCAACAAATAATGGAATTCCAAAGAACATTTCTGCAACCATACAACCAAAAGACCACATATCTATTGCACAATTATATCTATAACCAATACATACTTCTGGTGCACGATAAAATCTTGATTGGATATATGAATATAATGAATAATTATCAAAACAACATGAACCAAGATCAATTAGTTTTAGTTTTGATGATATTCCTGTTAATAATATATTTTCTGGTTTAATGTCACAATGAATAATACATGCTTGTTTACAAACAACAAGACATTCTAATATTTGTTTATTTAAAGTTTGAATAGTTGGTAATGAAAATCCAGATTTTTTGTTTAATTTCATTAATTCATATAATGAAGATCCAAGTAATTCTGTGACAATACAAAGATGATTACAATATAAAAAATGATCTAAGATTTCTACTATTTGTTTTTTTGTATCATAAAATTTATTTAATAACAATAAAGCGGTAATTTCAAGCATTCCTTGTCTAAAATATGCTTTTTTATTTTTTAATATTTTAATAGCAACTTCTCTATCATGTTGAAGATCTTTACATTTAAATACTTGTCCAAATGTTCCTTGTCCTAATTTACTAATAACTTTATATTGTGTAATAACATTTGGATTCATTGAATATTCTTTTCCTTCAAATGATGTAGAAGTACCTAATATATCTCCAACACGTACAATTAATTCATAATTACTATTATCTAATCCATAATTATGCATTGGAGTTTTGGGTTCTGTAAGTATTAGAGTTGGAATATCAAGACAATGAAAGTTAGGACTAATATGTACATATGTTGATATTAATCGAGTGGTTTGTGCTTTAAGAATAGAAAATGGTCTTCTTGTATAAGAAAAAATTAATGCTGTTCTATCAATGGGACAAAAAGCACTGTGAATAGAAGCAAGAGCCATTGGTACAGATAGTTTTTACAGTTTATTATTTTCTCCTTTTTTCGTTTATTTTTAGAAAGTATTAGTTTTATTCTCCCTTTTTATTGCCTTTTCTTTGGTTTCTTCTCAATGGTTTTACAATTTGACTGCCGTTAAAACAAAAATAAACTTAGAAGTACTCAAAAGAAATCAACCAAAAGAATGACACCATTCTAAAATGAGAATTGATGATGTAATAACTTTATTTTTTTATTTTTCTTTGATGTGACTCATGAAAAAAAAATATTTTTCTACGAGTTGATTGTTTCACCATCAAAATTTATAGAACAATAAAATCAAACTATGTGATAAAGTTATTGAAATTAATTGAGGAGTATATTTCAAATATTTTAAATAGACCTAGTTATGAGCGGAAACAAGTCAGAGTTGAAGAAAATAAAATTGATGCGAGTGAACAACATTCTCTCATATATCAAAACTCAATAATTTTTTGTGTTATTTATTGATGAGATGAAATAGTTACGAATTTCCTCAATTCGTTTAGTTCTAATTTCTAAATTGATGAAATTTGGTACTTAAAACTTTTTTGATGTCATCAGAAACGATAAATTTTAACCTTGGTTAGTTCTCAAAAGTATTGAGTTTTACTTTTAAGTCTTATAATTTTCTAATACATTAGTTTCTTTCTTTTTGGTGTAATTACAAAAAGAAGAATGGGAGTTGTTTTGAAGCATATACACTAAGTTAAATTTAGAACTCACAAAAACAAGACAAAAACAATATCTATCTACTTGAGAAGATTAAAAAGAACTAACAAACAAATAAATAAATAAATAAAATAATAACAAAGTGTTATTAGACTCTCATTAACAAACAATCTTGAATTTTTATGTATATAGTTTTAGGAACAGAAAATCTTCTTTTAAAAAAGAGTTAATAAATAATGGATTAATGGTTATTACATTTTAAATAATCAATTTTCTCATTACAAATATATATTAATGTTGAATAAAGTGATTAAGTAATGACAGTCTAATAATGATTTTTTTTAATTAATAAATATCCTTTAAAATGATAAGACTAAAAACAATTCAAAATTTCATATTAAATTTAATAAACAAAAAGGTTCTATAATGATTTAATCCACAAAAGATATATCAATAAATTTTTGGTATTTTGTTTTCTCAACGTAGTTTGATTCAATAAATAAATATAGAAATTGAAGCATTAATACAAGAACTATTAAAATAATAAAATAAAAAATAAATAAAAAAAATAAAAAAAGAGAAAAACTAAAAATGAATCTTAAAATTACTAATGGAAAAACAACGAATATATAACCTTTCACTTCTTGTTCTTGGAGTTGTTGTTGTTCTTGCTTCAACAGCATTAATCTTTTTAACAATATTTGGTCCAATAAGAAAAATGCCAAATACTAATAAATTGAATAGTTCAGATTTAAAATTCTATAGTAAAACAGTCTTTATGTTAATAATGATTTCTCTTGCTGTTCTCTTTATGGTAGCAGGTGGAATGATGATTGCTACTTCTTTTGTTCAAAAAGATTGGATGTGTTTGCTTTCATACATTGTAATTGGTTTAGGTGTTATGTGTGCTTTCTCCTTCGGTGTCTACTTTGCTGTTACTTATGGTTCTTTTGTTAAAACAACAAATACCTCTTTAAAAACATTAGCCCATTGGGAAGATATTGTTTGTTCTTCTTTTCTTTTATTTCCTTTTTTTTATTTCTAACTATTCTTTAGTTTGATTGTTGTGGTTGGAATGAATATCGTTCAATGCCTCCTTGTGCTTCTGCTAGTGGCTCTACTTCTAGAATTACTTGTAAAACTGTCACACAACCTATTGCAGGTGCTTCTCTTCAAAATCTTATTGTTGGGTTCTCTTTCTTCCTTCTTCTTGTTGTTGGTATTATCTTCATTTATTTAATCGGTGGTTCTTTAAATTCAAATGCTGGTTATAACAAACTCGACCAATAAATCAGTTTTTCATTATTTATTTTTTGTTTTTCTTCTTTTTAAATAACATATTCCTCTTCTTTATTTAAGTTTTTTGTTTTTTATTTGCATTATTATTACTAAAAATAGATTTATAAATTTTTTTTTTGATTAAACATCATTCCATCTAATATTTATAGCAATTCATTGATCTGTTTTTTATTATTCGACCAATGAGTAAACTACACTTAGAAATTATGTTTGATAATCTCTTTAAAGCAATTGAGTGTGCAAGAACTTTAAGTCAAGAACAAGAACGTCGAAACAGTAAATATCGAGATTATTACATTAACAAGATAAATGAAAAAATTGAAAATGTAAATCAATGTATTAATTCGTTAAAATACAGTACTAAACAAATAGACAGTTATAGTGGATGGAATAAGTTCTGTAATAATATTTATGATTCTTTAAAAGAAATATTAAAAAAAAAATTCTTAGAATTAGTTGAAGGAAACCATGATTTTATAATTAGTTTTAGTAAAGAGAAAATAGTCACATCTTCTATAAACGAAGGAACGTACAACAAAGTAAAGGATGTGTTAAATCTCTGTCTTGTTTTTAGTACTTCAAATTCTTTTAATAGAGAATTTAAGTTAGAAAAAACTGCACCAGTGTCATATTCTACATATCGTAATGAACAACAAAAAAAGGATCAGATTATTCAAAATTGGAATAGAGCAGTACAAATCTCTAATGAAATAAAAAAAGAAGTAGATAAAGACACACACAAACAAGAAGGTTCAGGAATACCCTCATTTTTTAATGGCTTATTAGGTAAATCTACTTCTAAGAAGGGATCACCAGAAGAATTATCCAAAGAGATTAATGAACAGTTAGAAAGAATGTTTGAACAATATGGCAATTTAATTGATAAAATAACATCTGATTACAAAGAATATAATAAAGACATAGATAATACTCATGATGAATCAAAACAACAAGAAATCCAATGGAGAAATGAATTAGATAATGTCAAAAGAAGGTTAGCAGCAGAAGAAAGACTTAAAAAAGAATCAGAAATAGAAGGATTTAAAAAAGCTATGAAAGAATTAAAAAAAGAGAATGGAGAATTAAAAAAAGAGAATGAAACTATCAGACAAGAAATTAATGAATATAGAATATATGTACCAACATTTATTTGTAACTGTTTTAAAGAAATAATGAATTCTCATGGAATTGAATATAATGTAAATCCTCAAAGTCAAACAGAGAATATTACTATGTATGTCGACCCATCTGAATTTGAAAAAGAAATATTTACTGTTGAGTTGCCGAGAATAGTTGTAAAGAATAATGTAAACATCACTATTGAAAAAGAGAATTATGATGTATCTCCAAAGGAAGAAAACGAAATAACCCTCATTGAGAGAGGGTCTGAAATAAATGGTACTTATCTTAATAGGATTATTATAATCAAAAAACAAAAAATCACTCAAGAAAACATAGATGTTTCTCTTACATCAAAGCATATAGAACAAGGATATTATAAGTATCCATATACATCACCTGATGGACAGGTTAAACTTCAATTTATATTGCCAGTAGACAAAGACATTAAAGATGGTACTAAATTCTTATTTAAATCAGAAGGTTATGCTCTTTGTATCACTGTCTATCTACAAGACAATACATCTAACTTGAAAGAATCAGGAGATAATGACTCTGAAAATACTAAAGATGTTAATGGTAGTGATTACCAAGTAACAGAAATAAATGGTTCTGAACAACTGAAACAACCAGGTGATACGAGTGATTTTAGTACAAATAAGGTTCAAAGTGAAAATTCAAATAGTTTAGAGTCTAGTCAAACTGACGATAACACCAACCCTCCTTCTGAACCAACTCACACTCCAAGCATGTCTATGGATGAGTCTCCAAATGAGAAAACAACATCATTTACAAACATGGAAGAAGAAAGTGTTATAAACCACGAAAAATGGGATTCCCAATTATTTTGAATTAAAGATATATTAAACAAAAATAATTTAATTCATTTAGTAATTTACTGTTTAGTCATTATTAATACATATTCAAACAATACATTGGAATATAAAATAAATTATATTTATATATAATTGATACTGTTCATTCATTAGGTCATTGGGATGATGATATTATTGAGAATGACTCTTCTTATGATGAAGTTGAAGATACTTTTATTGATAATGGTATGAAATCTTGTGTCACTGAAGTAACAACTTGTCTCAGTCAGAGTCATTCACAATGGAATATTATTCAACCACCAAAACAATTTAATACAAATCCACTCCAATGTGTAGAACATCAAAAAACACTTGATTACCCAACACTAGAACAATGTGTTCAATCAGTGATTCTTAATTCTAACACAAAAACTATTTCATTTGAAACAATATACAACCAAACACTTCTTCAATTATCATCTAAATTACATCCAGAAGCTACTATTCATTATGTTTTTGTAGTGACATTGATATTAGCAAATAAGAAACAGTATCATCTCTTAAACCCATCAATAAATCAATTATCAGTGAAAATCATTGACTAATTCATTCATTTAGAATTTATGATAGAAGGGATTTAACATTATTTGTGCAATTTCAAAAAGGAATTGATATTTTAAAACGAAAAAAAACAGTTTAGTATTTTTAGACATCAATTACAAATAAAGATTTTGACTTTTTCATTTTTGAAAAGGACATTTTTGAGCTGTTGGCATGTTGTAGAAATGACTCGAAGTTCTTCTATAATTAAACAAGTCATTCAACAGTTAAAAAAAGTCCAGATTTATTTCAAGTTCATTTTGACAGGACATTCAATCTTGTTGTAAATCGTCATGTTTTTATTTCAAGAAAGCATTGAACTAACTTTATTGGTCAAGTCAAGCAAGGTATTGTTTATCTCAAAGACTATCTGTTCTCTGTAGTACTTCATTAGTCCGTCCATGAGAACCATCAAAATTGAAAACCCTAACCGAACCCTAGAAATTTTCTAAAAATAAGAAATAAGAATAATCCCGAAAGGACATAACCAAAGAATGTAAGAAATGAAGAAAATGAAGAGGAATGATTAAGTTAAATTCATTCACAAAGAAAAGGAATGAACAACAGAATTTTTTTGAAGAAGAAACCCTCCAGGAATATTTAAAGAGAATAAGAAACTAAAAAAGTTCAAAGAAGAAAATGGCAAAGAGATTTTTCTTTACATCGGAAAGTGTTTCTGGAGGACATCCAGATAAAATGTGTGATCAAATCTCCGATGCTATTCTTGATGCATGCCTTGCACAAGATCCAAAATCACATGTTGCATGTGAAACAGCAACAAAAACAGGACTTATTTTAGTTCTTGGAGAAATTACTACTAATGCAGTTATTGATATTCCAAAGATTGTAAGAGGAGTTGTTAAATCTATTGGATATGATGATACAAATAAAGGATTTGATTATCAAACATGTTCAGTTCTTTCATGTGTTGAACAACAAAGTCAAGATATTGCTAAAGGAGTTCATGTTGAAAAGAAAGAAGAAGATATTGGAGCAGGAGATCAAGGAATTATGTTTGGATATGCTACTGATGAAAGTAAAGAAATGATGCCATTAACACATGTTTTAAGTACAAAATTAATTTTAAGACTTCAAGAATGTAGAGAAAAAGGAATTTTACCATGGCTTAGACCCGATTCGAAATCACAAGTTACATTAGAATATGAAGAAGTTGAAGGACATTTAAAACCAATTAGAGTTCATACTATTGTTATTTCAACACAACATGCAGACAATGTAAGTAATGAAGAAATTGCAAAAGGATTAGAAGAAGAAGTTACACAAAAAGTTATTCCAAAAGAACTTATGGATGATAAAATGTTAAGATATTATAATCCAAGTGGAAGATTTGTTATTGGAGGACCAATGGGAGATGCAGGATTAACAGGAAGAAAGATTATTGTAGATACATATGGAGGATGGGGAGCACATGGAGGAGGAGCATTCTCAGGAAAAGATTCAAGCAAAGTTGATAGATCAGGAGCATATTGTGCAAGATGGATTGCTAAGAGTTTAGTTCATGCAGGACTTTGTCATAGAGTTCTTGTTCAATTAAGTTATGCTATTGGTGTTTCACATCCATTAAGTATTAATGTAAATACATATGGAACTGGAATTTGTGATGAATCAATATTGGTTGATATTGTTAATAAGAACTTTGATATGAGACCAGGAATGATTATTAAAGAATTAGGATTAACAAGACCAATTTTCCAAAAGACAGCAGTTGGAGGACATTTTGGAAGAAATGATCCAGATTTCAAATGGGAATTTCCAAAGGAATTAGAAATTCCAGCTGAACTTAAACCAAAATTGTTGAAGAATGAACCATAAATTGAATACTTTTTAATCCATATTTTTGATTATTTCAACAAATAAATTGAATTTTACTTTCTTAACCATTAATTTAAATTATTCTAAATCATCAAACAACTTTTATTTTATTGCTACATAATCTTTTTAATACTTCTTAATTGTGTTAAATTGGTTTAAATAAGGAAAAATTTTTCTATAATTCTTTTTGAACAATCAGTGTTTGTTTGTCAATTCTTTCATAACTAATAAGTCTCAAATCAATTCTTTGCTATTCCAATACAATACTAATTCATTGAAAAGAGAGATGCAAAGTGATGTTGTGAAAATACCATCTTAATAATTACAAAAAGAATAAAAAGAATAAAAGGAACTTAAAACTATAGTTTTACTATAGTCAGTCAAAATAAATGGAACAGAGTCTAGAAGATAAGAAAAAAGGAAAATCAACTAAAGTAGGAGATGAAACAAGTCGTATTCGAATGAAGAAAACATTACACAAACATCTCACAGACCTTATGAATGCTATGGGAAAGAAGATGACATTAAATGAATTAGTGGAAATATTATATGATGATTTTATTAAACATGGAGACACTAATAAACGATGGACATTAAATAAACCAACTCAATCATCAAATGTAAGTGCATTAGGAAAAGAATTTTATTTATCAGAACAATACTACAAATTACTGTTTGAAGGATTATATTAATTATTGATGTTTTTAATTGAATTAACATGGCATTTTCAACGATTTAATTTCTTCAACTCGTCTAATTGGTGTAATAGCGTTGGCACCATTTCGTCTCCAACTGGGACTTTTTCTTGAAGAAATTGGAGAGCTG